ATTAACTTGCACTATTAGAAAAAAACAAATGAGATGCCCCAAATGGGAAGTAGTTATTGATTTCCGCTTCAAAACACCCACCCCAAAAAGAAAAAGAAAAAGTGAAACATACAAATAGGGAGCGGTGATGACTGAATAGCTCCCAAGTATTGTAACGGGAAGCGGTTTGAACATTGAATCGCTCACCATTCTTACAAAAAAAACAACAAACCTTAACAACAATACCAGCTAGCCGCCCTATTCGTTTCCCCTTTCTCTCTCCTCTCTCTTCATTTCCCCCTTCGATCTCTCACTGCTCTCACTCTCTCTCCTTCATCTCTCTTCTCTCGATGTTGTCTCCTTCTTCTTTCTCTCCTCTTCCATCTTTCTTTTCCTTCTGTCTCCTCTTCTCTTTCTTCTTCTCCTCTTCCATCTTTCTTCTCCTTCTGTCTCCTCTTCATTCTCTCTTCTCTTTCAGAGCACCACTACTAAAATTTGGTCATATTGCGAATGTATTTCTACAACCGTCATAAAAACAATCGCGAAATATGAAATATGCGACCGCTTTGAAAACAGGCGTAATATTGCGACTGTTTTCAAAGAGCTCGAAGATTTGCAACTGTACTTTGCCCAAAAACAGTCGCAAAAGTATTTAAACATTTTTTTTTAATAAAATGCATGTTTAAAATAATTCAAAATTAAATTAAATTGCGATCGTTTCAGAACGATCGTAATTTGTGACCACTAAAAGCGGTCGCAAAAGTGTTATTTAAAAAAATAAATAAATAAGGGTATAAAAGGGGTGCACCCTAACCCCTAATTTCTCAAAAAACCAATTGTCCTCCTCTTTCATTCCGTTCTCTCTCTTCTCCTCTCTTCTCTTCTCTTTCTCTTTCCTCATTCATGCGTTCCGAATTTCCACCTGTTCTCTTCTCCTTCGATCTCCTTCTCTTCCCTCTTCTCCGACAACTTTGGTGGTTTTAAGGATTCCGGTAACGTCGGTGGTGTTGGCGTATTGGCGAGTTCGACATTTTCTCCCTCACGGTCCAATGCGTAGGTGGTGGTGTTAAACAAGTTAATGGTTTTAAGGTCGAATTCGATCATGAAAACTCTAGGTTTGGACTTTTCATGGCCGAATTTGGCCTTGTTAAACCAAATTTGAGGTTAACTTCGAAATCAATTCTGATTTTGAGGTATGTTTTTGTGTTTATAATTTTTTTTGTTTCATTTTTTGTTCGAATTTGGTGTTTTTTTGTTTGAATTTTGGTTGGTTTTTTTATCAAATTTCCTTGTTCGAAACCTGATTTTTTGTTGTTTTTATTTTTGTTCATTTTTAGTTTGATATTCTGTTAATTTTGGGTTGATTTTTTGTTTGAATTTGGTTTGATTATTGGTTTGCTTGGTTTATTGGTTGATTTTCGTTTCGTTTCGTTTTGTTAATTTTTGTTTTTTGTTTTTGGTTTCTAGTTCTGGTTTCTTTTCGGTTTGATTTATGCAATTGGTTTGATATTTTGTTTTATTTTGGTTTGATTTTGTTTGATTTGAGTGGGGTTCTTATTTTAATTTAGGTAGTTTTGTTTTTGGTTTAATTTTGTTTGATATTTGTGGTGTATTTTTTATATGTTGTTTTATGGTTTTTTTATTATTTTGTGTGGTGGTTGTGGTGGGTAGAGGTTTTTTTTAAGGTGAGAGGCCGGTAATGTTGGTGATGGTGGCGACTTCTGGTGGAAAGAGGTAATGGGCATCGTTGGTGACAGTGAGGTGCATTCATTTTAATATATAAAATTATAGCGACCTCTAAGGTAGTCGCAAATCTGAAAATTTTGCGACTGGTCCGAAAGTCAGTCGCAATATATAAAATTTGCAACCGTTTTTCAACCGGTCGTTGAAAATAAGAGAAATGATCGCCAAAAAATCTGCGACCGTCAACTAGTCGTAATTTTGTGTTTTTGCGAGCAAGTAAATAACAACCATCATTGCAAATATTTTCAACGATCGTTTTCCCTATTTTCAACGACCGTTTGCGATAGTCACAAAAAACTTCAATCTTAGTAGTGCACCATAAACGTCGACACTAACCACCACAAACGCTGACACTAACCACCACAAACGCTGACACTAACCATTGCTCCTTTTCTCTTTCTCCTGTCTTCTTTCAAGGGTTTTAATTTGAAAACAAAATATAGTTTTTATGTCAAATTCGAACATGGACAAATTTAACCCTTAAAACCCAAATTCAAGCCTATTTTGGGGTTTGGGTGGAATACAAGGTATGTTCCCTATTTTCTTTATACAATTTTGTTTTTTTGAGATTTTAATTTGTTTTTAATTTATGGTGATGTGTGGTTGTATAGGTTTGTTTCAGGCGGATCTGGTTTTGGGTGGGGGTCTAGGTGGGTGAGGCGTTTTTTTTTTTTAAAGGCGGGTTACAACTGGTTGGTGGTGGTGGTGATACGGGGATAGGGGCTGGTGGTGGTGGTGGAGGTGGTGATTCCAATTAGGGATTTGGTTTAGTGGGTGGTGCGCGTGGTTCGGGTCTGGTGGTGGAACAAGAGCAGCAAGCCGACAACAATTTTTATTGAATTTTTTATTAAATTTTTTTTTTATGAAGATGTAATATTACAACCTTTGATTAATGAAAATGCTTATGTTTATACATATGTAAAGTGTTTGTGTATCAATTTAAGTGAAAAAAACACACAATTTTTTTTTTTTTAATTTTTATAGGCATAATGGGAATCAGTTCAGAGCCAATACCACTTCCCATTACCTTTAAATGGGAAGCGGTTCACCCATTTAAAGGGGCAATGGGATACCCCCCAAGCCTGAGCGGTACAAAACCTCTTCCTAATAGGGTTTTGAACCGCTTCTCAATTACTTTTTTCATACTAGTGTATTGTACAACAAGAATGTTATGTAACTCTTTACCTTACATGTTGTGGGGACACTCTGCTTTGAGGTATGGCCACTTGTCGCAATAGTAACACTGGCATACATTGCATCCTTCTTCAGGTACTCCTCGGAATGGTTGACAAGTAAGTCCACAAGCTTGACTATTGAGCCTTCATCATCGTGAATAAGCTTGACTATACAGTATGGTGTCATGAGCGAACACATCATCAAAAGGTCTCCCTAAGGATAGAACATAATTATATGGAGAAAATAATTAAACACTTTAATAATCCCAACTTTGCTCAATTTATTTTAAATAATTTCAATTTTTGATTATTCTGTAAAAGTTCCAACTTTCACCTATATTTTCTTCTAACAATCCCAAATCGGTCAACAAAAGGCAATGACCTAATATTGTAGGCCACTTACACGTGTCAAGTCGTAAGTTGTCCAATTTTTTTTTTTTTAAAAAATTAAATAAAAAAATCTAAATTAACCAGCCCGCTATCACTGGCGGTGGCCACTTCCATCCACAGTCAACTCCGAACCACCCTCTTCCTAGCCCCAGCCCCAGCCCCCTCAACCAGTCATAGCCAAAAATCTTGGCCTTGCGTTGAAACTGCCACCCATAAAACCCTTAACCACCCATAACCAAAGCCCATGTCCATGAAACCGTCCCCATCCCCTTCCCCCACCCCCAAAATCACATGCAACACCACCAACATCGCTTGAAATCACCCCACCAAACCACCAAAAACGCAGCCCCTCCATTTCTCTCTCCTCTAATAGCCAGAAAATGCAAATAAAGGTAGTGATGGGAGCGTTTCCGGTGTGGGGAGGTCGAAAAAAAGGGGTTGGGGATCAAAGAGGGTGCTTTGGTGGAGGTGCTTGCCAGTTGGGGAACGACGGTCTCTAGTGTTGGGTAGCTAGTGGTATTTTTTTTTTTATATATATTATTTTTTTTTTAATTTAATTGATTTATGTTTATTTTTTAAACCAATTAGAATGTGACACGTGTCATATAATTTGGTTTTTTAAAATTTAACCCTTTGTAGGTAACCGGTAATTCGGGTTGAAAACAGAAAACGCAAATGAAAGTTGGAATTATTATACTAGTAAAATAATCGAAAATTGGGATTATTCAAAGTAAATTGAACAAATTTGAAATTATTAAAATGTATTTTTCCTAATTAATTAAACACAACTAATAGTGTATACAAGTATTAAACTATTAATACCTATCTGCTATAGATAGGTAGCTTGTGTCAATAAAAGTATTAAACTATTAATGTATGCTACTACTCGTTTTTGTCACGAAAGCATAAATATGATCTGTATATTTATAATAAATTATATTATAATAGGAATTTAAGATATCATTAGCATTGACAATCAAATTAGCATGTAGTTTAAGGGACAATGACAAAGATATTACTTCAATAGCGTTTGGTTTAGCTAGAAACAAATCACGCACGATATGTGGGGCAAATATAGTAATACAGTATTGGACGAAATAAATTAAACTTATAGGGTCGCACACATAAGGCATGTGTCGAATTAATTACCAAACTAACATACTTGAAGCCTGAATACGCCACTGGTTTCTTGGTCGAATTGGTTAAGAGGCTCGTTTCAAGAGGTACATCAACATTTATTTTTGAGATGTATGATTAATACATATATGTGATATGTGATCCAATCATTGTTCTAATTTTTCACAATTATATATTTCAGAATCCTAATTTGTGACATGTCTAAATTTTTCAGTACAATACACAAACTTATAAACATTTTATCTCTCTACGACGTTCTTTAAAGGATTTGAAACAAATCTAATCTAAAAAATACTTGGAAAAAAAAAAAAAACAATATTCCCTCTGTTTTTAAATACTTGCTTCATTTCTCTTGGACACGAATGTCGATGCTAATATTTGATCAATAATATCTTTAATTATCAATAAGTATAATTTTTAACAATTGAAATTTAATAATCTATTCATTGAGATGATTCCAACAACTACCCACAAGACTATATTTTTTCTTATGTATATAAATCACAAACATTAATCAAAGTAGGACGAATGAATAGTGTAAAAAATATAAACGGAGTAAGCATTTAAAAATGGAGGGAGTAATAATTATTTTTCTTATAAGTAAATAAATTATTAGTGCACTTACATCGATCTTTGACTCATTATGATAGAAATTACAATAAGTTTAAAACTCAATACTTGCGTCTACAAAGTGTAACACCGTCGCCAATCGAAAGAAGGGTCGACTCAATACGAGGGTCAGTTGCAAGGAAGCTATTCAAGTCCCTAATTGCACCATGTCCAATCTTTTTAATAAAACCCATAATTGGATCATTATTGAATATATCATCATTGCTATCATATGCAACGGAACCAAACCAAAGAGTGTTGTCATAGGCAATTACTCCTCCAATCTTAACAAGTTTAAGTAACGGTTCATGATAGTTGATGTAATTCTCCTTGTCCGCGTCCACAAAGGCAAAATCAAAGATCCCTTCCTTACCCTGCATTTTTATTAGTCCGCGATGTTAGTATAATATTTGAATTTAAATTAAATTAACTCCGACTAAAAATTATTACTCGTATAAAGCAAGAAAAATAAGTTCAAATTAAATGCGTGGTATAAAGTGAAATAAACAATGCGTAAGTTGATATGTCTAACCTGGCTTATTAGATCATTCAAAAATGGCATGGCTGGTCCATGAACAAAGTCAACTTTATGGTCAACTCCGGCCTTTTTGATGAATGGCTCCCCAACTTCATATGCTTCTCTATCAGGATCAACTGCTAGAACCTACAATTTCCATCAATTTAATTGTTGCTTCACTTTATTGGTAGATTTAGACTTAAATAGCCCATGATTAAAGACTTAAAAAGCAAAGGATTTAGAAAAAAAAATTATCTTTTTTTGGAAAGGAAAAGATGATGCATAAATAGTATTTTTGATGCAAAATTTTGCCAAATTGTATGATAGATACATTAGATAGGCCCTGAATTTGTCCTAAAAAATAAATATAATAAAGAATTAGTAGAAAATAATCTCAAACTCAACAGTTCAACAAAAATAATTTCAGTTCAGTAAAAATAAGGTGAAGTGAAAAAGGGTTTACACTTTGTTGTTCATTCTAATTAGGAGGAATTATTAGTATCATATGTTGTTTTTATATTTTTTTTACCTAGTACGACATAAATGTGTCATATATTATCAATTATAATAAAATAAATTCAGTTTAATTATTAATTTAGAATGCTTTAATCTTGAAAATTTAATTAAGGCAATTTAAGATTTTATTTACGGAAAAACTTTACCTTTCCATCATCAGGAAGAGCAAGTGCAGTAGCAAGAAGAGAATAGCCAGTGAATACACCAATTTCTAAGGTGTTTTTAGCGTTCATGAGCTTCAATAATAATGATAGAAATTGTGCTTCATCAGTGGACGCATTCATGATACTCCTGCACACCATGTCACAATTGACACAAATTAGCTACTCCAATTCATCATAAGTAGGCTATAGGGTCCAATCGATCGAGTTCGACCCACACTAGTCCAAACCGGCTTTCGAGCCAACCCAGACTCGAAAGCCGGTTTGAACTAGTCACCACATATTGAGTATAATTCGAACAAAAAAAAAATGTTACATGTGTTGGTATTTCTCTAGAGTGGCATCTCTAATTTCCTTCATTTGTTGATGCTCATTGGGGTAAGCACTTGTTTTCATGATATACTGTAAACAATATTTATACCAATTCATACATACAAGCATCAGTACAACATTATAAATTCTTAAAATAAAATTAATTAGCAAAATATGTAAAGAACAAATAGAAACGAAAGGAGTCTTAGTAAGAATAACAAACCTCGACAAGGGTCGGGCTGTTGAGAATAGTCTTCTCCTTGATCTTGTTCAAGTCCAATGCCATATTTCCTATATGTGTTTTTGTAGTTTGCTTGGTTTATCTTCCTTATTAAAAAAGAGAAACAAAGGCTTTAATTTTTAGTAAGAGGTGCTACCGTGCAAGTGATTTTTCTTAAGGCATGAAGCAAAATATATATAATGGGAATAATAAAGTCTAGCATGAGGTTGTTTACTGTTTATGATTTATGAACATAAATATTAAATGTATGATTATTATACGTAGTAATTATATGAAGTAATATTTTATGATAGATTGATAGTTAGTTTGAAGTTTGGACTTTGGAGTTAAATATTGTATTGCCCACCATGTACGATTGTCTAGTAACAGCGCCAATCTATGACGACTCACGAGTTAGGTAGTTATAACCAAAGGGTGAGATTTTGTTAAGACCCTTTTGTTAGCTTGCGTCATGTCATCTAATCAATCAGTGATTTGTTTATTATTTCAATCAAACAAAGGAGAAGACTTTTGGGGTTCTTGAATTTGATAAATCTAATGAAATTATTATTATATACAATCGAGTGTACGGTGTATTTAAAGTACAGAGTATTTGTTTGCTCACTTGATGATAAAATGAGCAATAATTATCATTCATCTAAATAAGTAAACAATATCCTTGGGTGTATCGTGCACCCAAATATATATAATATTTTCTAAGGAAAATGAGTATATTTTTTTATGGACATGACTTTTTACTTTCTACTCACTTCAATAATTCTATTACTCTGGATAGAATTCCTTTTTTTTAACCTTAGGTCTTGTATATAGCTATATACTATGTATATTTTTGGGAAATTATTATTGGTACACCATAGGTTTGGGCTTTTATATCAATGATATACCTGCTTAAGTTTTAATTATAAGTGGTACACTTATATTTTTAACAAATTATCTACAGTTTGCATTCCGTTAACTATGACTGCAATTTTGATCAATTTTAACTCCCTCTTTTTTCCCTCCTTAACAAACTACTTCGTATATTGTATACATGCTAATGCATAATATATGTGTATCCAATAAGTGAATTAGTGAAACATGATAGTTTTGATCTCAAAAGTCACTTCATCGGTGAAAATGTTGATTAAATTAGAGTGTATGGGAATTTTATTATTTTTAAGGTATTTTGTTTGTAGTTTTAATTTACTAAAAGAAAAACATATACAAATATATTCTACTAGTGATTTTGAATGCAATGTTAATATGTTATGTCTTTCACGCTTAATGTAAACAACAATGTTTTTAATTATCAATAAGCACATATGTACGAGTATTATAGAAATTGATGATATGTTGGAAGTTTAATGAGACAAATCTAATAAAATTATATATAGATCACCTAGTCACATATGGCTATTATTTTTCCTTGAGCTTAAATCACAATAAAAATGTTTATGATTTGAAGAGCAAGTTGTGATTAAACTTATTAAATGGGTGTGTACTCCTTCTGTCTCGAATTAATAGGTTCTTATTTCTTTTTTGAATTGTTTCAAATCAAATGAAACATTACCATTTTTGAAAATTTTCTCTACCTTTTCACTATTTCACCCAACTACCTTTTCACTATTTCACCCAAATAAAGTCACATTCATTTTCTCTCTTTGTCATCTTAATTTTTTCTGACAAAATATAATTTGTGTTATTAAAAGAAAGGAGTATAATATTGCTTCACAATAATTTATCCAAAAGATCTGCCTCGCTCTAGAAACGTTGTCACCTAGTCGTACTTGCAAATGCACAAGTCCTGCTTTTAGAAAGTCAAGAAGTTACGGTTGACATTTTATAAGCTATCTGGTCAAAAGAGAGGAAAATAAAAATATACTTATTGTGATCTATATTTAATTTGGTGGCATTCTTAAATCTTAAGCCCTTAATTTGACAAATTGAAAATTAAAAAATTCATTTCTTCAAAAATAAATTAAATACTCCGTATTCATATTGTATTGCATGTATAATTTGACCAACGCATTGTTTAAGAGATGGAGTGTGTTATTGTACTGTTATCATATAATACCAACATAATGTTGTCTCATTTGATAAGTTTATGTTCTCAATTTTTAGAAGTTTGGAGCTCGAATCCTATCAAATCAGGGTATTTGAAGGTAGGGATTCTCTTACCCTCCCCTCTACTGCCAAGTGCCTAGCCCATAAACAGTCTAAACACTAGACCAATTAACAGTAGGAGTTGAAATTTGGTAGGATCCTCCTTACCAATTAAATATATATATATATATATATATATATATATATATATATATATATATATATATATATATATATATATATATATATATATATATATATATATATATATATATATATATATATATATATATATATATTATTGTACGAAGTACGTTATATTGAATACATGTAATATAATACTCTTTCTATCCCTATATCTTTGATCCATTTGATTTTTGATTTCCAAGGAGCATTTTAAAAATGTATATATCTCCATTTTTTATAAGTGTAAAAATTATAAAAACTTAATTTATTAATAGAATATATAACGAGAGTTATTTAACAAGATCTCACATGACTATATTATCTCTTATAGATCAATAAAAATGCTTAGTCAAAGTTTTTTAAAATTTGACCAGATATTATCAATAGGAAAAAAAATTTGAAATAGAGGAATATCAAGCTAAGATTGACATAATGGTTACAATCACACGCACTACAGCATATTAGGATAAGGATCGATTGTATAGTTCCTTGTTTTAAAAGTGTCTTCCCTTTTAACCCATGCAAAATTATGACCTATCAGGACAATTCTTCTTATCTTTAAAAAATAAATAATAAAGTACTCCTTTTGTTTTTCTTCGATTTCTTTTTAATTGCAACACTTTTATATAAAGGTGAGCAAAAATACCGGGTACCCGGTGTTGCCCTTGATGTTTTGATGATAACACAAGTCAAACAAGTGGACTAATGTATTTTGTCAGTCTTGTAGTCTGTTTATAAGTTACAGGAATCACTCAAGGAAAAGGAACACAAGGAGCTAAAAGTCAAAGTGATCAGCTAAAGAGTTCCTGTGAAGGAACTAGAGCTTCGGAGCAGAAGCTAAGGAAAGAAGACTCGAAGCAGAGACTTCTTAGAGAAGCATAAAGTCTGAAGTATTTTTCTATTTTAGATTTTATGTAAGTGAAAAATAATTAGGATTAATGCTAAGTGGAATGCGTTTGAAAAAAGGATAAGTATTGACTTGCTAAAAAATAGGATAGTTTGTTTAAGAAAATCTTTTGTGATTTTATCTTTTAAGCTGATAATTTATTTTCGAAAAAATATATTTTTGCAAAACCAACTTCCTAAGCTTGCGCAACTGACTGTTGATTTAGTCTTCTCCACTCACGAACATGCTGCTTCCTTAAGGCTCAACGTGCCCTGGTTTTTAGGACACGATTGAAAGTTTTGGAAGTGGTGTAGAGTAGTGGCGTTAATATGCAGCAGTGGTGGTGTGAGTGGTGGAAAGTGTGGCATTTTCTCCAAGCAATATTTTCCTATAAATATCGAAGTTATTTTCTGGATAACTTCACCTTGCTCAAATACTTTTATCTTTCTTTCTTGTTCATAAACGAGTCAAGAGTCGCATTCCACTTAAGTGTTTTTCTTAATTACTTTCACTAGAGTTTATCATTGATTTGTAATTTGGGAATTGGGAGTTTGAGTGAACGCTAAGAGAAGTTAGAAGAGAAAGAGAGAGAAGAGAATAGAGAAGAGAAGAGTAGCAAGTAGTGGGACTTGCTGCTGGGAACTTCAAGTTCATAGAGGAACTTGAAGATTGATTCTTTAGCTTGTAATAGGTTGTTTGCCCTGTTATAGTGGAGAATCTTTCCTAAAATCCCAAGTGGTCGTGATTTTTCCTCTTGTTAGGCCAAGAGGTTTTCCACGTAAAATCTCTCTCGGTTCACTTTGAGTTCCTGTAGCCTAGTATTTTTCAATTCCGCAAAAAGTTAGCTCAATTCTCTTAAACTACAATTCACCCCCCCTCTTGTAGTATTCCTCTAAAGTAACAATTGGTATCAGAGCCTAATCCTCTCGAAATCAGGACACCCTGAAGAGGAGAATCTTGGCACAAGATGAATACTCATGAAAAGCTTGAAGAAGGGTACTCTACGCAACGACCTCCTATGTTCAATGGGAAATTCTATACCTATTGGAAGAACAGAATGGAGATCTTCATCAAAGCAGAGAATTATCAGGTCTGGAGAGTAATCGAAGTAGGAGACTTCGAGGTAACCAAAACCAATGCTCAAAATGAGGTAATTCCTAAACCAATGTCTGAATATGAGAAAGAAGACTTTGATAAAATGGAAATCAATGCAATGGCTGTAAAACTGCTTCATTATGGACTTGGACCACATGAACACAATCGTGTTATGGGGTGCAAGAACGCAAAGGAAATTTGGGATCTCCTTCAAGTAAATCATGAAGGAACTAATGAAGTGAAACGTTCTAAAATTGATTTACTCATGTCTAAGTATGAACGTTTTGAGATGCAACCCAAAGAGTCTATCCAGGAGAAGCTTATTAGATTCACTAACATTATTAATGAACTAGTTTCTCTTGGTAGAAAAATTCCTACTGATGAGCAGGTCAGAAAGGTGCTAAGAAGTCTTCCTCAAGACGAGCGTTGGAGAGCTAAGGTGACAGCCCTTCAGGAAACAAAGGACTTCACAACGTTCAACATTGAACAACTTGCCGGTTCCCTCATGACACATGAGCTTCATCTAGGAACCAGTAACAGTGAAGGAATCAAGAACAAAGGGCTGGCACTGAAAGCTGACCAGGAGGAATCAGAAGTGGATGAAGAAGAAGCAGCAATGCTAGTCAGGAGATTCAAGAGGATGTTCAACCGAAACGGACGGAACTCCAGAAATTTTCAAAAGAAGTCTTCTAACTCCAAACCAGACTATGGATGTCACAAGTGTGGGTCAACAGACTACTCATTAGAGACTGTCCTCAATGGGATATTGAGAAGGGAAAAGGGAAGTTCAAAGAACAAGGAAAAGAGAAATACAAGACTCCTTTCTCAAAAACCGATGTCAAGAAAGCAATGATTGCTGCTTGGGGAGACTCTGAAAGTGAGGAAGATGAAGATCAACCTGAAGAGGAAACTGCCAATCTCTGCTTGATGGT